ACACACACCCCACACCATATATACCCATCATATATACATTACACATATACTCATACACCATGTACCATTCACATAGCACACCTACTTACCACACATACTACACATATACCATATATACACACACACCACACACACCACAACATATATACTTATCATACACACATTACACATACCACACCCACATACCACACACACTACTCACGTACCACACACACACTACACACATACCACATACACACACCATGCACCAGACACATACCACACACATATACTCACTCAGCACACACACATTGCACATACACCCACAGCTAGGGGAGAAGGGAAGGCAGCCATCTGCTCCACTGAGTTAGAACAGGAGAATTAAGCAGATTATTTTGCTACAACCAAATGCCCTTCCCTGCCCCTCTCCCTGCCCCCAAACTAGACCAGTGGTTCCAAGGGCATGAGGCACTCCTGATGGGGGACTTTCTCTCCCAATGCAGATGACACTTCTGCCAGTGCCCCTGGGCCTCAGATTTGGTGCCCCCAAGTGGGGGATGGTCTCCCTCCTCACCTTGGTCTTTGTGTTTTCCTGAAGTCCTTTGGGACTCAGCTTGAATCTCACCTTGTCAGGTCCCTCCATTGACTACCTTTATAGATTTTGTATAACTTCCCACGTGTCTAGTTATTTTCATGAACTGCTCCCCACTAGGACGTGTGTTTTTGCCTTTCTTTCCATCCCCAGAGCTGGTTTACTTAGCCCAGTGCCTGGCACCTAGGGAATGCTTAATCAAAGCTTCCTGACTGGTTAAGGCACTGACCCAGGTTAAGTGATTTGTCCAGGGACACTCTCAGTACGGGTCAGATGCTGGACTTGAGGGCAGCCCTCCTGACCGGGCCGCTCTTGGTCACTGGACCAGGCTGCCATGGGAACCACTGAGAAGGCAGATTGACTAATCCTAAAAACAGCCACAGAGCATGAAGGCAAGGTAGACAGAAAAGCTTCAGGGCTCAGTCCCTGTTCCATGTCTTGATAACTGGGTTGACTTTGCCCAGGGAAGGGAGAGCAGAAGAAGGCAGAATAAGAAGTGAGCCAGGAAAGTGGCTGAGGGTGTGAGGATGAATCTTAGATTAAGCAAATGAAGAGAGAGCCCAGGCTGCACCTGTGATGTCTCTGGCATCAGGAGCTCCCAGAGGAGCAAGCTCCTTCTACCAGAGGGATCTCCACCCTTCTGCAATGGATAGCTCTAAAGACCTGTCCAGGGTCACACATGGACCAGGTGCCAGAGCTGCAGGGATTTGAAACTGGGCTCCAAGGCCAAGCTCTCTACTAGACCACCCTGCTGCCAAAGGAAAAATACAGACATTTCTCAATGTTTTATGGAAGCTTGCTTTGCTCTAAAGTCCTGGGATGGCTTTTTAAATTACAAAGGATGCAGTTTTAGAAAGAGAACCCATAAGACAAATAATAAGCAAACAACTAACAGGTGAAGACAACCAGGAAGGCTTTTCTGGAAGGCCCGACAGCAGGCCAGGGTCTCTGCTCCTGGGGAAGGAGGGAGGCGGGGGAAGGGCAGGATGACCTTTCTCACATCCTCTGAAAGATGGGAAATGAGTCTGAAAAGCCGAAATGGAGATGCCTTCAACTTTCAGTCATGGAAATATGGATACTAATTGCTTTGTGGATTGTGCTGTGGTAAATATTCAGGTATCTGGGAATCTCTGGACTACGTATGTCCTTCTCCCTCCCTCCCTCTCTCCTTCTTTCCTTCCCTCCCTGCCTCTTTGTTTTTCTCCCTCCTTTCCTCTCTCCCTTCCTCCCCCATCTCATCCCTCCTTCCTTTCTTTCTTCTGCCCTCCCTCCCTTCTTCTTTCTTTCCTTCCTTTCCTTTCCTTTCCCTTCTCTTCCTTCCTTCACCCATCTCATCCCTCCTTCCTCCCATCCTTTCCTCCAAGGTCCTTCTAGCTCCAAACAGACGATTCTTTGGTCCCTTTGAATAAAACAAAACTAGGAAAGTAAATCTGATTCCCTACTATTTAAACAGTGGGATGAATTCCCAAGCCAAAGAGAAATGCTTTTGAGCTTTCTCCCATTGCTTTCGGTTCATTTTAAATGTCACTTCTGACCCAAGGAGGTACTGGGGGAAAGCCCATCATAGGGCTGGAAGCTAGAAGACAGGATTGGGAGAGAAGACAGCTTTGGGCTCCTGATCCTCTGGACAGAGAAGGGTAATGGAGGCTGTTGAGGTCATCCTGAAGCGCTGGATAGAAGAGATGGTTGGGAGTGCTAAGGACAGGGGGGGCCTCCTCTCTCTGGACCACAGTTTCCTCTGGCCAGACCAGACTCTTAGGGGTCATCTCTTAGGCCTTTCCCAGTTCTATAGTCTATGACCCTATGACTAGAACAGATCAGTGAAAACTAGGTGACTTTCTCAAACCGCCAATTTAATCTTGTTTCCACAGGGATGGCAAAGTGGACAAGTGCCAACTTCCTCAGTGAGTAATGGGGAGAACCAGGGTCTCTAGGGTTAGGGATGGAGAAAGAGGGGCTGGGGCCCTTGTGCCAGGCTGCCCTCTCAAATCCTCTCCTTCTGTTTAGGCTTCTCGGGCACAGCCAGACTTGCTCCAGTGGGTGAGGTTTTGGTAGGTGAGTTTCAGAATGGACTGAAATGCAACCGAATGAATCTACAAATCCATGGGTCACCGCTTCAGACAAAGGAGGGACTCTGGGAGGAAATGTCCTTGGGATCCAGTCAGCCAGGCCTCTGCATTGGGAAAGCAGCAGGGAGCTAGGGACAGACTCAGAGGGAGGCAGATAAGGGTCACGTTGGATCATATTGCTCTGAAGAAAGCTGCCAGATCCCTGACTAAAGTGATCCTGATGGGGGAGAGGGAAACAAGTGGGAATATGCTGTGTGACCTTCCAAAGGCACCTATAAAGAGGCAGTGGAGGGCAGGAGGAGTGCCAGGGTGGGCTGTGGAGAGGCTTCCAGGAGATGAACTGGCCAGTGGGTTTGGAAGAAGGTAGGGACATGGGCTGGTGAAGGGGGTGGTGATGTGTGTGGCCTTTGTGAGGAAAGGCAGCGGCCTCTGTCAAGGCCAAAAAGCAGAAATGTGCATCCTGGGTGGGAGAAATGAGTATAGTGGCACTGAACTAAATTGAGATGAACTGAGCTATAATTAGATGAGTTTAATTAGCCCATATTTGGGAAGGGGATGGGAGGCTGGAGAGAACTTGCCTGGAGAGCTGTTAATATTGAGTTCTCTCCTCTCTTCCAGAGCTCATGACTTCCAGGCATGATGAGCCTCAGCACGGCACCACCATCTTGGAGGAGCTCAGCCCCCCCCTCCCCTGCCCCCCCAGCCCCTTTCCCTGGCACCTGAGACCCCCAAGCAGTCTTCTTGTGGAAACCCCATGTTTTCAGGCTTTGTTTGCGCACCCACCCCCTGCTCTGGCAGGTGACAGCAGTCAGGTGCCTGAACCCTGAGACATGAGTAGTATTCCGCCTCTCTCTCTCCCTCCCTCCCTAATTTATTGGTTACTATGAAGACTGTACAGGAAGCACTTGCTGCTTTCTTTCAGGGTCTTCTCAATGGAAATAAAACACAAATGTTGTTCCCTGCCAATCTCTCTGCTGGTCTTATTCTTCCATGTTAAGTGAAGGCAAGGAATAGGGAGGAAATTTGGGGCAGACCTTTCCTGTCCTCTTAATATGTATTTATTTGTTTTTTAAAGGCCAGGTTTCCCCCTCTCACCCAGGCTGGAGCACGGGGGCTATGTGCGGGCCTGCTCTCACTCTGATCTTCAAGGCTGCCTGCACTGATGCCACAGTGATGGGCAAAGCCACCATGCTCAGGAGGGCTGCCAGCCTCTGCCTCCCAGCGATGCACCTTCACGCCGGGCTTCCATCGCCTTCTTGAGATGGCACAGAAAGTAGCAGGCAGCCGGTGATGGGGACACCTGGGACTTACCCTTTCTTCTTTCACCTAGCCATTGCTTCTCTTGTCTGTGCCTCACTTTCTTCCATCAGTAAAATCAAGAGACTATCACCCATCCCTGCCACCTCCCAACACTGGGTGAGAAGAGGGCTCCTGGAGCCAGACTGGTCACAGCCAAAATGAAACCCTGTGAGAGGGTGAGCAGAGACAGACAGACAGATAGGGAGAGACAGAGAGAGAGAGAGACAGAGACAGAGACAGATTGGCAGAGAGAGAAAGGGAGGGAAAGAAAGGGGGAGATAGAGAGGGAGAGAGACAGACAGACAGACACACACACACACACACACACAGCCAGAGAGAGAGCCAAAGATGGAGAGACAGACAGGCAGAGAGAGACAGACGGGGAGAGACAGATGGGCAGAGAGAGAAAGAGAAAGGGAGGGGGGGGGCAGAGAGGGAGAGACAGGGAGAGACAGATGGGCAGAGAGACAGACAGACAGACAGACACACAGAGCCAGACAGTGAGAGACAGACAGGCAAACAGAGAGACAGAGAGGGAAAGAGAGAGACAGAGAGGGAGAGAGTGAGACAGAGAGAGAGAGAGAGAGAGAGAGAGAGAGAGAGAGAGAGAG